AAGATCGTTTACAGACCCCTGAAACGCCGTCTTCGTATGGATGAGAGGCTGGTTTGGTAAAAAATGAGTGCGTTTAGGCCAGGGTTTGACTTCGTGTGGACGGGGCCTGAGCTCCAGGTTTGATCTAAAGATTCTGAGCTATTCAAAGGATCCAAGTATTGCTCATTATTCCCCAAAAGTTTAAAAAAAACAATCCACTGGACTTTGTTTCCAAGGTTTGAAGACGTTTCGCTTCCCATCCAGGAAGCTTTTTCCAATTCAAATGTCTAAATCTAAAGTGATCGTCTCTTCATCAGAACAAGTTCTCAAAAATGAATTCTCGTTGTTACGTTTGTAACGCCTCACTGTAAAACAAACCGCTATGCTAATTCTTTTACACTATGTAGGATGGCTGGTGTGTGTGTGTGTGTGTGTGTGTGTGTGTGTTTTTTTTTAAATAACTGTGTTATAATTTAGCAATCCTTTTCTCTTTCTATTCATTTTGGTCCTCAAGCTCCCTGTCACTATTTTTCTATTTTAATCATCATATTTTTTATATAATTACATGTTTATTTTTGTTTCTTTGTCTTGTGTGCTGCTCAAACGGATTGCGTTAATAAAGTCGTCTAAGTCTATAAAAATTATGGCATAAATTCACCGGCAGGAATACGAGGCAGCTTTGCTCTCTGCAGCCCTGAGGTCAGAGGTTTGCTGCGTATCTGGTGTCACACATGGATCTCATTCCCTGTCTCCCTGCAGCCTGACCAGGGGACCGCTGTCCCTCTTTCTTCTCTCTCTGGGATGAGAGGAAGCTTTGCTTCTTCTGTTGCTGTGGTATCTTCTGCATCTGCTTGACTCCTGGTTGTTCTGTCATCCTGACTATCATCAGGCTCTGTAGCTGATTCATTCTGATATTAATTATTCATTTGCTTTTCTGATCTGTGGCTTGATCATTAAAGGCCTGCGAGCTGAAAATGCTCCTACCAGGATGTTCTGGCAGAGAATACAGGAGTTCTACTATATGACAGACTTTGCTTTGGTTTGACTGTCCAGTTTCCAGTTTAGAGGTGTTTTGTGTTTGCATTGTATTTTTAGCAGACTCTAGTTATTGTTTCCCTGATCCCCGTGTTTAGCTCGTTCAGTCATTCTGCCCAGTCAGCCTCCCTGCAGTTGCTGCAGCCTCTTGGTCTCCTGTCAGCTGTTGTTGTTCTGCTATTTGTCACATTAAGCCCTAATTGCTGTATTTACCTTCGTGCTGTTTAGTGCCTGATGTGAGGATCAAATTATTTTTATTATTGTTTTTTTCTCTCCATTTTTGTCAAATTAGAAAAAAATAATATTTGTATTAATATACAACTAAAGACAATAAACTGTTGATCTCCAAAAACCTCATCAGTTAGTTCCATTAACTCTAAAATGACAAATCAGGGATCTGT